AGCCTGGCCTTTGCCCACGGGAAGCTGAGCTTGACGGAGGTGGAGGGGCTGGCGGATCTGATCCATGCGGAGACGGAGGCGCAGCGGCGGCAGGCCCTGAGGCAGCTGGACGGGGAGCTGGGCCAGCTCTGCGGTGGCTGGGCGGAGACCCTCACTAAGGCAAGTCCCCGTTTGCCCATCCTCTGCCTCGGAGACCCCCATCTGCCCATCCCCTGTATGAGAGCATCTGGTCTATGAACCTCCAATCTGATCCCCTAAGTCAGGCTGGACCTGGGCAAATTGGGGGGCTGGGGGCGGGTTCCTGGGTGATAACACCGCATACCTCCCCTCCCCCAGGCTCTGGCCCATGTGGAGGCCTATATCGACTTTGGGGAGGATGACAACCTGGAGGAGGGCATCCTGGAGCGAGGTGTGTTGGCCTGGGGGTCACGGCTGGGGACACCTGGCATTTCAGCCCCTAGAAGCCCCCTCCCTCCCTCCTCTCTTTCTTTCGTCCACAGCTGACAGCCAAGTGCGAGAGCTCGAGGTGGCACTGGACACACATCTGCGAGATGCTAGGCGCGGGCAGAGGCTGCGCTCAGGGGCGCACGTGGTGGTCACGGGACCTCCCAACGCGGGCAAGAGCAGCCTAGTAAACCTACTCAGTGCGTGGGAGGTGGGCAGGGGGCGGGCCTGAGCTGCTGAGGTGTGGGGAAGGGCCAGGGAGGACGAAAGCTCTCGCCTGCCAGGGACTGGAGCTGGGAGAGGGGCTCCCTTGTTTTCACTGACTTCCGCCCCTTTCTCTGACCCCGTTCTCCTCCCCAGGCCGGAAGCCAGTGTCCATCGTGTCCCCAGAGCCGGGGACCACCCGTGACGTGCTGGAGACCCCTGTAGACCTGGCCGGGTTCCCAGCGCTGCTGAGCGACACGGCAGGGTTGCGGGAGGGTCAGGGGCCGGTGGAGCAGGAGGGTGTGCGGCGCGCCCGAGAGAGGTGGGTGGGCGGGCAGACAGGGTGGTGGGAGAGGGAGCTGTGCCCCTTCCTGTCCCTGTTGGATTTATTATTCTTTCTTCTTGAATCAGAGATTTAACTAGGGCCTCTGATTTGGGGAGAGCAGCCCTTAGATTTTGGCCTCTGCCCACATGTTCGGTTTGCCCCGCCCCCCCACTCAGCCCAGTACCTGAAATTGCTCCACTCTGGGGTCACTTCTCAGCTGATTCTCCCTGTTCCTCCAGGCTGGAGCAGGCTGACCTCATCCTGGCCGTGCTCGATGCCTCGGACCTGGCCTCTCCATCCAGCTGCAACTTCCTGGACACGGTTGTCACCCCCGCGGTAGCTCGGAGCCCCAGTGGGAACAGCCAGCGCCTCTTGCTGGTGCTGAACAAGTCGGACCTGCTGCCCCCTGGGGGTCCAGACCTCAGCCCTGAACTGCCCCCCCACCTGCTGCTGTCCTGCCTGACCGGGGAGGGGCTGGATGGCCTCCTGGAGGCATTGAGGAAGGAGCTGGCTATAGTGTGAGCCTCCCCTTGCCCACCCCACAGCCTCTACCCAAGTTCAAGTGGGGGCTGAGCCACAGCTCTGGGCACATGCCTGCCTCAGTTCTGTCTCTGCAGAATGAGTATGCTCATCCCCCTTTGAGCCATGGTTATAAAGCTAAGAGAGACCATGTTCTTTGTCCCTTGCAGGTGTGGGAACCCATCCACAGGCCCACCACTTCTGACGCGGGCAAGGCACCAACATCACCTCCAGGGTTGCCTGGATGCCCTTGGCCACTACAAGCAGGCTACAGATGTAGCCCTGGCAGCCGAGGCGCTGCGCGTCGCCCGGGGACACCTGGCCCGCCTCCACGGTGGAGGGGGCACCGAGGAGATCCTGGACATCATCTTCCGGGACTTCTGCGTGGGCAAATGAGGGACCGCTGAAGCTTGAACCAGGCTGGATGGACACCCAGGGACACCCAAGCCTTGAGACACCTGGGAATAGCTCAGGCCAAGCGAGGTTTTCATTTCCTTGGGGAAGACCTTGACCGCAAAACACGAGTGAGCTCCCTATTGCTGACGGTGACCACGCTCTAGCTGGCCAGGTTCCCCCACGGGGACTTGCTGGGGTTCAGGCCCTCGAGTGGGGCTGAGCAGAGGTCCCTTTGGGCACCTGATCCTGCGGGAGTAGCCGTGAGGGTTGGGAGGGAGTTAGGAGAGTCTCAGGGGTCTGTTTTTCGTAGTTTTAATGTATTTTGTAAATACCAAAGGAAAAAAAATCTCAGGTGATCCGGAAATGTGGAAACCCTCCCCCCACTGCCACTGGTGTCACAGCATAACTGATGTCCTTCTAGAACTTTGGGTGTTTGTATACTTGTGAATGCGCCTGTAAAATATGTTTTATCTTGTATATTCTACAAACTTTGTGTGTTTATTGCTCTGTAGGTTGTCATTCCTTTTTTAATATTAATCTTGGAACTTTGTCTCTTGTATCTTAAAAGTGACTTGCAAAATCCTGGGGGCCCTACTTCCTTTCCAAGATTATTAGTCTCCGTCGATTGATTGATTCATTCCTTTACTCATTTAGCGAATATTTACCAAGCACCCTCTATGGATAGAATTGTGCACAACCTTTTACTGGATCTTCATAACAGCACAATGCAGCGGGCGGTTCTAAAGATGAGGAAACAGACTCGGTATAGTGGTTGGTGGTGGAGGTCCCCAGCTTTGGGATTTGCACATAGGTCTGTTTGACTGAGTTCACTGTGGGCCTTCTGTGCCACAGGCCAGTGCAGGGTGCTGGGAACATGGACAGAAGCAAGCAAGCATCGCCCCTCCCCTCGTTAGAGATCTAGCTCCTTCCAGTGAGCCTGATAGCTGCCGTGTGAATTTACAATGAGGGGTGCCCTGGTTAGGGACCTGTGGGGTGAGTTCCAGGAAGGCCCCAGCGTGAGGCCTTTTATTCTGGGACTTTAGGAGGGCCTGCTATGGCGCTGACAGACCAGCAGAGGGCGCCTTGCTCTAACAAGGAGGTGCCTGGCAGTCCTCCGTCAGAGTTCCAGCCCCGTAGGCTCTAGGCGGATTGGGGCTTCTACACCCATCTGATAGTCAACTCTCCCTGCCAGAGGCGGAAACTGAGTCTCCGATAGGGTCAGGATCTTTTCCAGAATCAGAAACACCTCCACCTCCACACAATCGCTCAGATTCCAGGGGACAGGTGAGCAGAGCCTGGGAGTTGTCCAGGGCCCGCCCACAAAGGGTATGAGAGGGTCTTTAGGAGGCTCCCATGTCCTCGCGGACTTCATTGCAATATGTCACTATATACTGATGTCTTTGCTTATGCAGGAGCTGGGATCGCCCCTGAATGGGGTGCTTTGGACGGAAAGGGTTACTGAGAGCTGAGTCCATGGATATTACGCCCATTTTTCAGAAAAGCAATTGATGCCCAGAGAAGAAAAGCAATGATGCCGGTCCCGTGGGGGTAGTCGTCCAGATGTCACGCATGGGCAGGGTCTGGGGGCTCCCAGGACGGGTGAGCCTGGTCCAGGAAGGGCGGAGACGCTCGGGGCAGGATGCCTGAGCCCCCGCCCGCCTCCCCCTAGGCCAGTGATGGCAAACCTATGACACCTCTGACACACGAACTCATTTTTTTGGTTGATTTTTCTTTGTTAAATGGCATTTAAATATATAAAATAAATATCAAAAATATAAGTCTTCGTTTTACTATGGTTGCAAATATCAAAACATTTCTATATGTGACACGGCACCAGAGTTAAGTTAGGGTTTTTCAAAATGCTGACACGCCGAGCTCAAAAGGTTTGCCATCACTGCCCTAGGCCCTGGCACAGGGCTGGACCAAGGTCCTTGGCTACTGCCCATTTTTTCCAAGAAGGGTGAGGTGGTTTGTGGGAAGCCGCCATGGGGGTTATTTATAGAGGCCACAGGAAATCCCCAAAGAGTCAGAACCTCACCCAGCGGCTGGACCACAGGGTCAGGGAGGGGGTCTGCCAATTGCTCCCGACTGGTACTCAGTCCCTGCCCCTCCCCAGAGAGCCACCAAGCCTGGGTGAGTCAGGGCTACAGGATCAGAGCCAGGAAGAGTGAGGGATGGGCTGGGGCAGCCCCAGGGGATGGGAGGGCTGCCCCTGGGGCACCCAGGAGAGCTGCCTGGAGGTGGAACCTCGGGAGGGGGGGGGGGGGCCCTTGGAGGGAAAAGGATTTGTCAGGAAAGAAAATGGCTTTTTTTAAAGGATTTGTCAGGCAAGAAAAGGCATTCCAGTCTGAGGGTACAGCACACATTATAATGAAGGGTTGGCGAGTCTAGTCAGAGCACTAAATGTGCAGGGCAGCTGGAGGCCAGGGCTCACTGCACAAGGGGGAAGGGGCACGAGAGAGCCGAGGAGCTGGACTTGGTGCTCAGGGTAATGGGGAGCCATGGAGGGTGTAAGGAGAGGGATGTGGTCAGATCCCAGGTGGAAAGATCTCTCTGGACCAGCCCAGGGGCCGTAACGGAGGCAGAGGCTGAGGTCCAGGTGTTGGAGGACTGAGCCAGGGGTGGTATGGGGACTGGTGGGAGGGGTGACATCCTGGGATGCTCTGAGTGGGAGAGACCAGCCACACGTTACAGACCTGTACCCAAGTGTCCAGAGAGTTTAGAACGACGACATCGCACTCATTTCTCAGATGAGAAAGTGGAGGCTGAGGTGGACTGAGCCAAATTTGGATCAGGGATATCTGGCTCCAGAACCCAAACTCTTGCGGTTGCTGGGACTGGCTGGCGTCAGCAGGCCACGACTTCAGGCTGCTCAGGCGGTAGACTCGGGGTCACGGATGTCCCGCTTCCTTGGAGCCTCCAGACCGGTCTGTCTGGGCGGCCTGGCCTGGCTCACCCCCCTGCCCTGACTTGGCCGGGCGGGTTGGGGGGCAGCCGAGTGTTTCCTGCAGCAGCGGTCTCTCTCACCCGCGCTTCCGCATCCAGGAAGTATCGCTCCTTTGTCCGTCCAGACGTGCCTGCCCTAAGCGCGTGCTTAGCCCTGGCTCCTCATGACTCATCCCCCCTCCCTGTCCTGGGTCCCAGGGGATGGGCTGGGAGGGAATCAAGGTGGGGGGAGGGGCGGGTACCAGCTGAGATTCTAGATCCCAATTTTAGGTTGTTTTTCT